ACATACACGCACACACACACCTTTATATAGCAGAGACATTGCCATGCAGCATTCGCATCCCAGTTTTCTGCTCATGTGCTCTGCAGCTCTGCTCAGCTGTCAGCAGAGAGAGAGCGAACAGAAACTCTCTCTCTGCTTCGCTCTCTCAATCTCTCTCGCTCTCTCTCTCTCTCTCGTCTCTTTAGCTGTCGGATAAACTTAGCTGTCAGCGATTGTCATCTAGTTAAGCATTTTAGAGTTGTTCCTTTATATACATATATGTAGCTCAGTGGCAGGACAGCCCCCTAGTCGAGCACACTCGTTTCGCACCGTTATTGTAACTAGCTCTAGGACTGTAAATGATCGAAAGAGGTCCTTGCATTACAGAGAACACTGTGCGGGCTGGAAGTTGCTTCTGGCAATTCATTTCGAGCGCGCACAGCTGCTGAGTGCAATGGCGTCACAAGCGGCGTATACGCAACGTAGGCTCCAAACAGACAACCAAGCACAACAACACCATATACAACTACAACAACAACAACAACAACAATGTCATCTTTAATTTTCCCTAGTTGAAAGCTTTTAAAAGAATCGGCGTTAAGTCTCTAACTCTATAAACTAGTCAAAAAACAAAAGACGAGCTTCGGCTCGTCATCTCTCTCTCTCTCTCTCTCTCTCTCTATCTCTATCTATCTATCTGTTTCTCTGTCTCTCATTTGAAACATAAACAACAAACTACAACAACTAAAACAAACATTAAAGAAAGAAAAATTGTGCTCATATATGTTTGTTATGTGTTCTTTCCTATTCTGTGTCTTCTTCTTACCTCATTTATATATATATATAATCTACTGTACAATGTATTTTGAATGTATACTGTACTTAAGAGTTCAGTCTGTTTCAATACCATCCACTAATCCATCTCTCACTCTCCCCACATCCAGCGCCGATGGCAACTACGAGGTGCGCTACAAGTCCAACGTCTTGATCTATCCCACGGGCGAGGTGCTGTGGGTGCCGCCCGCCATTTACCAGAGCTCCTGCACCATCGATGTTACCTACTTCCCGTTCGACCAGCAGACGTGCATCATGAAGTTCGGCTCGTGGACGTTCAATGGCGATCAGGTCTCGCTGGCCCTGTACAACAATAAGAACTTTGTGGATCTGTCGGATTATTGGAAGTCTGGCACCTGGGATATTATCGAAGTGCCCGCCTACCTGAATGTCTACGAGGGCGACAGCAATCATCCAACCGAGACGGACATCACTTTCTACATTATCATCAGACGCAAAACTCTGTTCTACACGGTCAATTTGATTCTTCCCACGGTGCTGATCTCATTCCTTTGCGTGCTCGTCTTCTATTTGCCTGCTGAGGCGGGAGAGAAGGTAAAGTGGAACTGATTCGATGCGACTTGGCTTATCTGCTTATATATGTGTATTTCGATCGCAGGTCACGCTGGGCATTAGCATTTTGCTGTCACTGGTTGTGTTCCTGTTGCTTGTGTCAAAGATCCTGCCACCCACGTCGCTGGTGCTGCCGCTGATCGCCAAGTACTTGCTGTTCACCTTCATCATGAACACGGTGTCCATTCTGGTCACGGTCATCATTATCAATTGGAACTTCCGTGGACCACGCACTCATCGCATGCCCATGTGGATACGTTCGGTGTTCCTGCACTATCTGCCCGCCTTTCTGCTAATGAAGCGTCCGCGCAAGACCCGTCTACGCTGGATGATGGAAATGCCCGGCATGAGCATGCCCGCCCATCCGCATCCCTCTTACGGCTCGCCCGCCGAGTTGCCCAAGCATATCAGCGCTATTGGCGGCAAGCAGTCCAAAATGGAAGTGATGGAGCTGTCCGATCTGCATCATCCCAATTGCAAGATCAACCGCAAGGTGAACAGCGGCGCCGAGCTCGGCCTGGGCGATGGCTGTCGCCGCGAGAGCGAGTCCTCCGACTCCATACTGCTCTCGCCCGAGGCCAGCAAGGCAACGGAGGCGGTCGAATTTATTGCCGAGCATCTGCGCAACGAAGATCTCTACATACAGGTGAGTGGGGTGTGGATGTTGCTTGAATGATTTTATATGCTTAAAATTTGTTATTTATCTTTGTGTTTATCGACTTCCGCTATTTACATTTTTACAACTTTAACTCCATAAACTGTTTCAAGTACTTAAACACTTTCAATTACAGTGGGGTGTGCTTCAATTCCTTCAACTGTTCTTCTGTTTTCTTACTTATTTAATATAGCTCTCTCTCCTGGATCAATCTCTTCGATTCTTTTAACACCTTCAACTGCTTCAAATCTTTCAATTTGTTCAAGGGTTTCAATTTCAACTCCTGCAATTCCTTTAATACTTTCAACTGATTCAACTTGCTCAAATTTTCCAGGCTTTTCATTTCTTTAATATTTTTACTGTTTCCTCAACTCTTTTAATACCTGCACCTCTTTCAATAGATTCAACTCCTTAAACTTTCTCAACTGTTTCAACACCGTTAACTCTTTCAATTTTCGACATTCAACTCTCTCCACAGACTCGCGAGGATTGGAAGTACGTGGCCATGGTGATCGATCGCTTGCAGCTGTATATTTTCTTCATAGTGACCACGGCGGGCACCATTGGCATTCTGATGGATGCGCCACATATCTTCGAGTATGTCGATCAGGATCGCATTATTGAGATCTATCGTGGAAAATAAATAAAAATAAAAGCCACACAACGCTCCACTCAACTGGGCACACAACTAAAAGGTTAAACATTGCAAACGCAACAATAAAAAATAAAAATAAAATTAAAAAAAA